GGTATTCTCCCAGTGGGATCACATTTGATCGGCATAGCATCACTGCAAGGCAAAAGTCATCTTCACATTACAGCTGAGAGGCCAGGGAGGCTTAGTAAATTACCTGATAGGCACAGGTAGGCAACAGCAGAGCTGGGTTTTGAACACAGATGTATTGGATTCCAAAGCCTGTGTCTTCCCCACTATATTGTTTATCACCCCCGGAATGTGCCTAAACTATTCAGATAGTCCTCTCCCCTCCCTTTTGTTGTGTCTTCTTTCTCTCCCTCTCCCTTCCTCTCCTCCCTTGGAATCAAACCCAAGGCCCAACTGAGCTAGCTATGCCTCCAGCTCCAAATATGATTTTTAAGCCACTGGTGATCTAATAAGATGATAGAATGTCTGGAATTAAACTTCAGTTCTGTCTTGGGTGAGGTTAGGTTTTTGTTTTTGTTTTTCTGGTCTTTGTTTTTAAAAAGATTTCTACAACTAGACTTGAGAATCACAGAAGAGCTGAAAAGCTTCCAATTCTGATGTTGCAGTATAGGCCATATTAATACATAGTTCTACATTTAGTCGTAGGTCACATTCAAGCCCATGGAAATGTGACTGGAAAGAGGTTCTTACAAAGCCAGGCCTCTGAGAGAGAAGTTATGTCATTGTCCACCATCTCTGGCAACGTGGCTGGTGAAGTGAAAAGCTCCTCCTTGTTCACAGAATTAAACATACTGACCATGTAAATGAGGAAGAGACCCCTCATCCATTTTTGCTGTTTGGCTAGAGAACAAGATAAAGGGATAGATGGAGTTGGCATTTGCTAAGATCCCCAAGGCCTCTCTGGGAGAGGAGTAACGGGCACCCTCGTGTTCCTCTATCCCTCACGTGTTGAAGCCCTCCTACATGTGACTGTGCCACCAGCTCGCGTAGTCACAGGTCCTGTGTCCATGGACTCAGCTGCAGATTGAAAGTGTTTGAAAAAAAAATCTAAAACCTGGACACATTTTTTATTGCGCCAGTCCCGGATGATACAGTATAATATACATTTACATTCAGTATTATAAGTAACCTAGAGATAATTTAACGCATGCAGGATATGAGCAAACTGTATGCAAATGCTCTGTCATTCTGTATAAGAGATTCGAGCATTCACATGTTTCATATCTATGGGGTCCTGGAATCCCCCCAGGATATCAAGGAAGGGCAGCGTTTGGAGAAAGGACCTTGAAAGTGGGTCTGCATCCAATCTGATTAGTGACCTTCTGAGAGGAGGGAAAGACACCGGAGATTCATTGCTGTGGAGGAAAGGCCAGGTGGGGACACGGCAAGAAGGGCTGGCGGCAGCCAAGGGTACCTCGGGGAAGCCAGAGCTGTTGTCACCTTGACCTTGGCCTTCCAGCCCCAAGAACTGTGAATGTTGACTTCTGTTCATCGAGCCTCAGCACCAGTTTCGGGCAGTGAGTGAATAGAAACAGCATTAGAGATTCCGTACGGGTGACCCCAGCCCACTGCCTATCCCGGACAGATGTGTTAGGAGGCGTCAGTGGTGACTGATGGCGATTTCACTACCTGGCGGGGAACTTGACAGTGAGTCTGAGGGTCAGCCGAGAAAAAGTCTCTCATTATTGAGAATAAAAGGGAAGTCGGGGGTCAGAAGCGATTTATAATGCTCATCTGGGTCAGGGACATGGCTAGGTATATTTGTTTGCTGTATGATGTCATAATTAAGGTGCTAATGATTAGTATCCACCCATGATAAGTGATTTGCTGTATTGTCATAATTAAGGTGCTAATGATTAGTATCCACCAATCACTAATTTCTTTAACAGCTAACAATTTATGGAAACTAATTTTATTGGCCTGAATACTGGTTCACAGTGTGGGCTTCTGTCAGGCTCGCTGGGCCTTGAGTCGTTATGTGGCTACTAAACTGACAGTGGCTGTGTGATTTGGAGCAAATTACTCAGCCACTTTGTCCCGCAGTCTCTCCCTCTGGAAAAATGGGAGTCAACAGCACCTACTTCACAGGGCTGTGTGAGAACAGAATGAGCTTATAGACTGAAAGTGTTTAGAAGATGCCTGACATACAGCTAGTACCCAGGAAAGGGTAGCTATTATCACCTCTCCTGTAGCCTGCCTCTGCATGTGAATAATAATAGGACCATTGTTCCTTTACAATTCCACCCAGAGAGCAGCTACTGGGCGCCAGATGCCTCTGTGACTGCCAGCAAGGTGGAGAAGAAGACTGTGCATCCTGGAGAGCAGTAGCTCCTTAAGTCTTAGCCTTGAGAGTCTCCAGGATGCTTACACAGATTCTTGGGCTCTGTCCCCAGAGGCTGATGGTACTGAATGGGGGTGAAGCCAGTACCATCTCTTTAATTGGCACCTGGGGAATTCTGATACAGGTGGTTCTCAGAACACCTTTTAAGAAACCTATCAAAAGGAGTTTCTTCCATAGGTGAGGCCAGTGACATGATAAGTGCCACGTGAATAGCTGATAACAGCCCTTGCACCATGAGATTTCACCAGCTGGCCCTGAGTGAGAGGCCTAAGCAATTTGCTTTAAAACCCCTCTGAAGGACATTTTTCACGAGCGCTAGTAAGGAGTATTGATGAAACATACATTGTGATTTGGATGTAGCCCTCAGTTTCTCTGTAGATAATGATCAGTCCAGGTGGGCATGGGTGGACCAGGGCTTCCTGCTGGGCTGTGGCATGACTGCCACACCCGAGTGGGGACAGAGGGAGTGGTAGGGGGAAGCAGCTTACACAGAAAACAGTACAGTGGCCTGGCTTATTTGGAAGAAATGGTCTATTCAACTAAAAGGTAGTAGGTTCACTGCAAATTCGTTTTTTGTTTTTTTTTTGGTTTTTTTTATTAGCACTGAGGGTTGAACCCAGGGCTCTTACACTGAGCTACATCCCTTTTTATTTATTTTTTTTATTTTAAAATAGAGTCTTGCTGAAGTTGCCCAGGCTGGGCTTAAAGGTGTAATAATCCTTCCCCAGCCTCCCAGACTGCTGGAATTACAGACATCTGACACCATGCCCACCTGGCTGCAGATTGATCAGCCCTGTCTGTAGGCTGTGAGCAATAGTTTAGAAATCTGGGGCCCTGGTGAGAAAGAACAAGCTGGAGAAGTGCTGTGTTTAGGATGGTGGGAGAAGTGTAGCATTAGCCAGAAGCTGGGGAGCTCCACCTGGAGTTAGGCAAAATATAGGCGATGCCGGCGGACTGGGCGGGGCGTGATGCAGGTTGACTCGTGCTCTGACTCTGGGTTTCCTTTGGGTTGTGAGTTTCTAACGCCTGTGTGCCTGTTGGGGTTGATGGCTGAAAGCTGGGTCCCAGGGGTCAGTCTGCCGAGCAGCCAGGCTCTGGTGAGGAAGTGGTCGTCATGGAGGATACAAAGGTCAGACCCAAAGAGGAGCGGCTCCAGGCTGCAGGGGCAGCTGTGAGAAACACATCCGGGTACCCAGCAGTGTACTTGTACAGTGTTGCTTTTCAGAAAAAAACGAATAGGTTTCAACCAAGTTGACTGTAATAGAAATACTGATGTTGTTTACTTTGAAAGCTTTCAAACCGAGCTCCTTAACATCTTTGTGCTCCTTATTTAGGTAGAAAATTTTTTTTAAATACTATGGGTTCATTGATTCTTTTCCCTTATAACTAAAATATTTGATAGAAAGTGAAAATGATGGTTATTAAATTTGTAGTCTTGGGCTTGTATTGTATTGGAGGTGTGTATGCATGCATCTCTGTGAGTGGACCCTTGACTTACGAACTCAATTTGTTCTCTTGGGTTGTAACTCAGGTTGATCAGTGGAGGCTCAGGAGTCTCTGCACAGCCTTCAGAGTCTCTCTCCTGTACACAGGCAGATCTTGGTGGCACTAAACATTGGCCCAGGATTTCTCAGTTGACCCCACACAGGAAAGGATGTTGTCACGTTCCTTCCGGAACTCTTTAAGCATTAAATCTGTATTTGAGACCATCTGGAATAACAAGTGGCTGGCATTCGGGTGGTAGCTCAAGACTTTGACCATAAATTAAAACTCAAATTCTGGTCATAACCCAAGTTGTTCGTATGTCAAGCTGGTTGTCACTCGAGGGTCCATTGTATTTTATGGCTTGTAATTTGTGCCACTTATATGTCACATATGGCCATAAATTATCTCTCAGTCAAAATGTTTTAGCTTACTATAATGCAACTGTTTTCCTTTCCAAGTCAACTAAAGTGAATCTTCCAACTTATCATTCCTGAAAGAAAAGGGATTTGAAAGTAGGCAGATGTTTTTGTTTGTTTTACTGTATCCTCTCTGCCACCTGGAAGCTTTATGTGTTTATCACCATAGTCCCGTTTTGTTTGGACCTTTGCCCTAAGATATTTTAAAGTGGCATTTCTTATCATAAAAGCACTACAAATTAGGTTTTTATGATTTTCAAATATTCTAACATAAAAAAGTAATTAACAATATTACTACTTAGAAAACACTGTTAGCAAAATATCACCCACGAATTTCTCTTCTGTCACTTTCTGTATAAACACAAATTGAGAACATATTTGTCATTCTATGTATGGCCATAGACTGCTTTCCACTTGACATGCTATTAGTATATTTCCATACTATTAAATATTCTTCAGAAACAGGATTTTGCTGACCTTATAGCATTCTGTGCTAATTTTACCAATCTTAAGATTATTGTCAACTTTTTGCTGTAATATAACTGTAAATATTACCTATCTTCTCCAAAAATATGTTAACTCTGATTTCCTTAACACAAATTAAGGAAAGTGTGGAGTTACTAAAAATCAGTTTAATCTATAGGGCTTTGGCACATTTTTGTCAAATGTCCACTAGCAGAGGGTCACAGTGCTCTATCATACCTCTTCTGGGGTGAATGTTAACTTTAAAACACATGTAACTGTTGGCCGGGTGTGGTGGCACACGCCTGTAATCCCAGCACTCGGAAGGCTGAGGCAGGAGGATTGCTGTGAGTTCGAGACCAGCCTGGGCTAAATAGTGAGTTCCAGGTCAGTCTCAACTACATAGTGAGACCCTGTCTCAAAACAAACAAACAAATGAACATATATAACTGTTAAAGAGAGTATCTCATTGTCTTATTCACGTCCCTTTTATTACTGCTGAGGTTGGACATCCATTCTGTATGATCTCATGGTAACTGACCCATAACCCTAGGAAAACATATCTTTTAGTGAACTTGAGGCCCACTGTGACATTTCCCAGTTAACCCTTTTGGAGCCACGTCTTCATAGATCTACGAATGTTCAGCCTCTTAAAGTCCATTCAGGAAACTTCTCTCCATGGAGGAAATGATCCATTATAATGATAAAGCATCTGTGAGTCTGTGTGTGACTGATTCTGAGCTCAGCCGTTTAGTCTTGTGTAATCTTGCAGGAGTTACTTAACTTCCTAAGTTTGTTTCCCTTGACTGTAAAACAAGACAACCTCACAATAATTCTCAAATGAGGAGATAGGAATTATTCAAACTTTTTTCCTCCCTTACTGGGGATTGAACCCAAGGCTGTTACACTAAACTAAATCCCCAGCTCTTTTATCTTTATTTTGAGACAGGCTCTTGTGAAATTGTCCAGTTTAGATGCAAACTTGCAATCTTCTTGCCTCAGTCTCCCAGAGTGCTGGGTTTACAGGCTTGCACCACCATGCCTGGCTTTCAAGCTTTTAATTGGAGGTGGTTACTATTAAAGAGTGAGAAATGCTTCCTAAAACAAGATAGGCCCAATAGAAATGCCAAGAAATGCATCATAACACTCTTCGAAGCCAGAACTTTCCAACTCCTGACAGGTTGTACATTTCGGTCCGTTTTACTAATAGTGGAAGAACCCATAGATGGGTTTTTTTTTTTCTTAGTGGGCTAGAAAACTAGCTTATGATGAACCCAGAGTGGCTCAGAATGCAGGACTCAACAGTGCTTGCTGCCTGCTTGTTCCTGAGAAAGTTTCCTGGAACTGACAGCCTAAATCTCTCCACTTCTCCCTCCTCCTCACAGGGTGAATGAACACATGAGCACTTCTTCACCTATGTGGTCATTTCAAGGTCTGGATCATTTTAAGGTCACTGAGAGCAATCTGACTTTCCTTAACACTGTGCTGTAATACCTGTCTGTGTAGGGCTCTGTAAGAGATTCTCATTCCAAGATTTGTCTTTCTCTGATCATTCAGTTCTTTGTCTCAGGGATTTGTGCAAGTGCAAATACTTTTTCCTGATGTTGGCTTCTGTCTGTGGGTCTGCTAGCTGCTCAGTGGGGCTTACCCGGTTGGCTGCCCGATGGATGAGCTGCTGGTAGTCAGGAGGCCCCTGACATCACTCTGCAGTGCTTTCTCTTTCACATTTTCACGCTTGCTTCTCCAGCTGACAGCTCACGGGGTGGGTGCCGCTTTTGTGGGCACCGCTGGAAAGTGAGGTTCAGCAATGTCCGAGATCCTCCGGGAGCTGCTCTGCGTCTCTGAGAAAGCTGCCAACATCGCCCGGGCATGCAGGCAGCAGGAAACCCTCTTCCAGCTGCTCATTGAAGAGAAGAAGGAAGGAGAGAAGAACAAGAAGTTTGCTGTGGATTTTAAGACCCTGGCTGATGTGCTGGTGCAGGAAGTTATAAAACAGACTATGGAGAACAAGGTCAGAATGGTCATGGGATGGTGGCTCAGGAGTGTTTGCCTCTGTGGCCTTTTCCCCTCGTGGAATAACATAACTTTAACTTCCGGTAGACTGGAATTCAAATACACACCTTGGAGTTTTCCACCCCTGTTAGGATTGCAAAATTAATAAAATTCAGTCCAGAAAAATCTTTAAAATACAGAACAGAAAACACAAGAATAGCTATTTGTAACACCTAGAGATGAACATTCTGTATAGAACCTTTCATTTATTGGGTTTCATTAAATCTCATTTATTAATGATTTTCATCTTAATAAATAGTACATACTCCCTGGAACATAAGCAAAATTAAGAATCCTCTTAATCCCACCACTAGAGAACCACAACTATGTTCTGCTAAATGTTAGAATATTTTCTTTCCATGTGTCTGGGTGTATATGACCCATATAATTCATTTCAACAGAAATGAGAGCATGCTGTTTCATAATCTTTTTAATTTTTTAACTTGATATAGTTAAGTCTTGTGGACTTAATCATTTATCTATTATTTGCCTTTGTTATGGGCTTGTACCTCGATAAAGCTCCATTTATTTTACTAGAAAAACATTGTCATAACTAACAGTGATGGTGATTCTAAGTACCCCGAGCTAATTGGAGAAATGGTATTCATAAATAGTATTAATAATAGTAGTAATAGATACATAAAAACTTACTATTCTAAGACCTTTATCTTAGCTTATTTAATTTTTATAACAATTTGGCAAAGTAAGAACCATTATTTTAATATAATGGATATTTTTAAAAAGGCATGGAGAGTTTAGGTAACTTGCCTAACATTACACAGAAAATGAGTGGCCAGGCAAGTTTTTGAACGCGGGTAAACTGGCTCCAGAGTCTGTGTTATTTGCAATACTATATTGCCTTTTATGTGATAATTCAATAATGTTTCTGTATTTAGGAAGATATAACCTTATGACAAAAAGCGTTATAAAAGAGTGCAATATATTCTATAAAATTCTGATTTGGAGAATTGTTTAGGATCATTTACATAAATGTTAGCCCCAGGCAGGAGAAGGGAATAAATGATCTCATGAAATTTCTACGAACTGTATTTTTGTTTTTGCCTTATCTGGCTCCCATCAACTAAATGAAGAAAGTTTATTTTTGTTTGTTACTGATCAAGGTGGTTGGGTGTGAGGGATGATTGAGCAGCTGGATTTAGGGCAGATATTTACCCTGAAGCATTATAACAAGTTCAAGCAGTTGCTTCTTCATGAAGTAAATGCCAGAACTTATGTGCTGTTATTCCATTTTAGTTATGTAAAATATTTTTATTTTGTACCCTAGTAGCCTTAGAAACATCTGTAAGCAGGTTTAGGAGACAAAGCATAAGTCTGTAATGAATAACGTGATTGCCAGCTATTGCAGGCTTATGTTATCTTGCAAGAGAGAGAGAGAGAAGAGGGGGAGGGAGGGAGAGAAATGTGGTGGTTGTGGGCATTAAAGCTTCTGACCATCTGCAGGTGATATAGTTACAGTATTTGAAGCATTTCCTTGCCTTTGTTTCCTGAGAACATCATGCGGATGATGGATTCGGCACATATTTTGAGAAAAATGTCTTTACTACTGAGGATCAGAAGCAATATGCATCAGAAAGCTTAGTCATACAGAGATGAGAGGAGAATCTTACTTACTTGACTCCATTTATTCACTTGATATTGATGTGCCAATTTTGGTCAATAAAATAGTTCACTTTTCAGGATAGCAAGGTGATATTGAAAAAAGCTCTTGGTAAGTCCAGTAGTATAGAAACCCATTTTAAAAATGCAAATAAAATCTAATGCTGTCTTCTCATTTCTTCTTTCTAGTCTTAGTAATAATTTCAGGTGCCTGATCTGTAATACCTTATGCAAGCCATTTGTGTGCTGTTTAAAAGCAATGGTTAAAATAGCTTCTTTGGAAACATTCTAGTTCTGTGGTCCTTATACATGAGAGGAGGACAAGACATAAGAAAACCAGTCCTCCACTATGATTTACTTTCTGAGGGGTAAAGGAACAGGAAAACATTAGAAAACTGAGTACTGAACCAAGCTGGCTTTAGTTTTCATATGTGTGAATTGGTTTCTAGAATTAGAAATTCCTGAATTTCAGAATTGTGTGATTTAATTTGAAATATAAAATGGAAATCTGTTCAGAATTGAAAATGTGTGTGGGTTTTGTTATTTTGGGTTTTGTCACATTCTGAATCATTCAGTTTCCAGGCTTGGAAAAAAACATTTTTGGAGAAGAATCTAATGAGTTTACTAATGATTTGGGTAAGTATAAGAATCTTAATATGTCTTTGTAACTTCATTTTCTTATGGTATTTTGATTTCCAATTTACACCATGAAATAAATGGATATTTGAAAGCCTTTCAGTGTGGACAACATATACAGTGGAATGTTGAACTTCATCCATTGGAATATGGTGCCATTTTAGTCAGAGATTCGTGTTTTCTTAGAGTAGTCTAGTAAGTCCATGTGTCATGGTAAAGTAGAAATCTGTATCATTTAAGTAACTTATCAGTTAACCTTTAAGAAAGTTGTATGGCCCATTGAGAATCTAATGGGGTTCCTGAGTCCCCAAATTGATAGCCTAGGTGTAAGCCCATTTGTGGGTGTCCTGGTGGTCCGTGGCTCTTAGCTAAGAATGTAAGGAGATGCTGTCCTGAAATACTGAGTGATGTAGCACCAGTCACCTCATCATTTCTCTGGTCTCAGGACTTCTGTAAGGGACCTAAACCAACAGAAAGGTGTTTTTTTTTAAGTATCGAGGTTTTGGTTTGTGTGCTCTGTTTTGTTCGAGCTGGGTACCTCTGTGTAGCCCACGCTAGGCTCAATTCCTGAAATAAGATGACCCTTCCACCCCAACCTGCTGAGTAGCGGGGACTCTAGGATTGTGCCACCGTGCAGGACTTCAAGTTTTTTGTTTTAGTTTCTGGTGGGTGAAGTCTGCTTCTATGGATTTCCATGTTTCCTGGTGTTATAGGGGGAAATATCACAATACGATTCTTTTCAGAGATTTTTTTTTTTAGTTTATTGTGGTTTTTGTTTAATGGTAGAATACTAAAATAGTAAGCATTAAACAATCATGGGACAAATAGTTAAATATCTAGAAGCACACAAAGAGAAAAGATTAATTTCTGAACTAACTCTGAAGACTACAAAGTCTCTCGTGGGCTCTGTGTTAAGATGGCTTAGTTCTATGATAGAAGAAAGTCCATTTAAGCTTCTGAAGGTTAATAATGACTCTTGTAATTGACTCACAAGAAGCTCTCTGTTGAAATCCTACACTGACTGCTTCATGGTCATTTTGATACTTCATTTATCTAGAATTGTGGGGACGAAAGGCATTCCATATCTATTTCCCTGTTGTAAAGGACAAAGAAACATGCGAAAAGATGGACAGATGGTGTGAGCACAGGGAGGGGCAGATTATAGGCAGGGAACTGGATTTCTCCAGGTGTGATGGGAATATCCTGGCCAGTTTTAAGCAGAGGAGTAATAGACATGACTACTCATTGGAACAATCGTCCCATGACTTTTAGCCCAAAGTAGTGCTCAGCATCTGGCAGGGCAGTGATGGAATTATTATCCCCCAGCTTTAATGGTCTCATTGGATGGAACTTAACTCAGGCGACTGTTTGCTTGCTGATTCAGAGGCAGCACTGTGGGCTGGGGTGCAGCTCAGTTGTCAAGTGCTTCCGTGGCCCATAGAAGGCCCTGGGTCTCATCAGCAGCCCAGAAAAAACAAAAATAAAATCAAAAGCCAAAGTCATCACTGTAGTAGATTCACACTGTGCTTCCCAAACCTCACTGATCTGATCTTAACTAGGGCCTCAGATGGTGGTGTGAAAGCACTTGGACTTATAATTTTGGCTTTCTGGAGAAGCAACTTTTCTTATATCCTACTTCTCAGTTGGTGGTGTGGAGGGGAGCGATCTGTGTCATTTTGAATTATATAACTTTACTATGTTGAAAGATGAATAAACTTTGTATTACTGAACTGAAACAATTTTCAGCTAAAACAGTATTATAGCAGGAGGCAGAGCCCTCCAGTGTGCTTATTAAACCTCCATTCTTTTCAATAACATTGATGTGAAAACAGTGACCTGTGAAGAATAGAAGTCAAAAGAAAACATTTTATCAAGGATTCGGACCTTTTTTAAAAAGATTAATGTATAGCTCCCCTTAAATTGGATACAGAATTCTGTCTGTGGAGATTTTTCTGGGGGGCAGGTCTTTTGGTTCTTGGAATACAAACCCCTCTTGAGTTAAGGGCATCAGGTCATTGGGCATTTGCACCTTGGTGTGCGGTTCCCCGGGTGATTCTCCCAGTCAGCCAGGTCCAGGAACCACGAGTGTAGATCTGTTGCCCTCATTTAATCTTTTGTGTGCCTGTGTGTGTGTTTGCATTTGCAGTACTGGAGATTGAAACCAGGGTCGTCATACTGAGCTATAACATCAGCCCTGTGTATCTTTTATTTTGAGATGGGATCTCATAAGTTACTAAGTTGCTCAGGCTGGGCTTGAATTTGGGACCCTCCTGTCTCAGCCTCTCAGAACTGGGATTACACATGCACCACCACACCTGGCTGCCCTCACATAGTCTAAGTGCCTGGCTTTTACCACCTCCTCCACTGCCTTCTCTCTCTTTTTCCACCCTACCTTGTGTTGTTTTTTCTTCCACCGAAACTCCTGAAATGCAGTGTCGTTTAGATTGTCTTTATTGTAGGGGAAAAGATTACCATACAGCTGTGCTCAACAGAGGAAGAAACCACAGAGCTTCTCAGCAGAGTGCTTGGTGGTAACAGATCAGCATCTGAGGCACTGGCCAAGGTTGTTCATCAGGATGTTTCCTTCGGAGACCGGGCTCTGGACTCCATAGACATCTGCATTCCACAGGACATCCTGGGAATTTGGGTGGATCCCATAGGTATGTGTAGGAGACTGTGTTTGCTGCTTTTGCTTTTATTTGTTTTTGCTTATAGGGGGAAAGGGAAGGAGGGAGAGAAGGGAGGATAGAATAGAAGGAAAAATGGGTTATCAGAGAATTACATAATGCTCACCTCCGGATTATATGTGGAAACAAACACTCTTCCAAAATCTTTCCTCACTTGAGAGTACATTGGTGTCAGGATTTCAGAGGCAGAGGGATTCCCTGCCCCTCGGTTCTACCCCGAAGCAGCCCTGTTACCTGCTGCAGCTCTCTGTACTTTCTAGCAGGCACACCCTTAACTGTGTGCGAACTCCCTGGATGTATTTCTTAAGGGGGAACCTGGCTCTTCGCCGCCTCCTCACAGGAGCACCATCAGTTTCTTCTCTCTTATGCCCTCATCATTGTCCGTTCTTCCTTCTAACTTGACCAAATAATACAGTAGTACTGAGTGATTCCATCTCAGGTGACTTCCTGGAAGGAAGCTTTTCCATCCACATTGGACTAGTCCTCCAATTTCCCTGAGTTGTTAGCTTTTAGATACTTTGCCATGTGATGAATATTTAATATTTTTTTTTCTTTTTTGGTACTGGGGATCAAACTCAGGACCTTGTGCTTGGTGACAGACAGTGGAACCACTCAGCTAAATATCCGGCCCACCATTTGAGGAATATTTGAGTGCTTGCTATTTAACTAGATGTCACAGGAACTACGACAAGTCCTTTCCCTTCAGTTGTCATATAGGCAGGAAAATAAAACCTAAGGTGCTCAAGAGACCAAAGAACAATTTAATACAGTGACATCCAAAGGTAAAACCACAGGAGTAAAAAGAGATAAATTCTATGGACAAAATTGAGAGATGTTTTATGGTTAAATCTAGAATGTCCTCCAAAAGGCTTGTGTGTTGAGAGGTGGAGCTTCTGATGGTGAGTGGAGCGTGGGGGATTTGTCCACTGATGAGTGCAGTAGCTGAATGTGACGTGGGCCCTTGTCAGAAGAGCCTGGTCCCTGGGGTGTGACGTGGATGTAACTTCCTCCCCTGCTCCTCCCTGTTCGCTCGGCTTCCTGGCCACCATGATGTGAGCAGCTTTCCTCCCGCCGGTTCTTCCCCCGTGCCTTTTCTGCATTTCAGCCTGCCAACCATACATGGACAGAAACTTCTGGAGCCATGAGCTCAGAAGGAACCTTGCCTCTTAATTTGCAGGTGTTGCCTATTGTGTCTGCACGGAGAGGACAGTGACTAAGTAAGACAAGATCTATTCATCACTGTTTTCTACATCTTTACCTGGATCCCAACACATTTGCTTCATTTTTCAGATTCAACCTATCAGTACATTAAAGGGCCTGCTGATGTTAAAGCCAACCAAGGAATTTTCCCCTGTGGCCTTCAGTGTGTCACCATTTTAATCGGTGTCTATGACTTACAGACAGGGGTGCCCCTGATGGGAGTCATCAACCAACCTTTTGTGTCACAAGACCTGAACACACTCAGGTAAAAGATGAACACTTCTGATCTGTTACAGCTTGTAGAACTTCTCACCTCAGCTTTGCTTATTGCTGTGCCCTTCCCGCCACTGGATCCATTAGGGGCTCCTGCTAAAGGCCCACAGGTTTGAGTGAAAGTTCTTTGCATTTTCAATCCTGGATTTGACATAATTTTATTTGGAGCCACATGCATGAATTTTAAGAGATATCATCTTCAGAGATCATCCTTTCACATGTGCAATATGGCAATCCTGTTCTGTTTCTGGAATCTACTCAAAACAGAATAGAAGGGGGCAAACTCTGTCTTAAGATATGTTTGGAAAGAGATAGGAGTCGTCATCACTATACATCCAGTTGAACTTCTATAAAATTTTAGAAGGAACTAAAAGTATGGAAACGTCCAATGCAAAGATTATCATGGCCAGGATGAGCCACCTTGGGTGTCTGTTCTTACACTGGCAGTACAGAGCCCCTGCTCTTCGGCCTTCCTGTGAAATCTTAGACAGCACAAGGAAGTCCCAAGTTAAAAAGCAGCTTTGTTTTTTTATTGAAATAGGTCATACTTTTCCATTCATATAGAACTACCTATGCTTATTGAATTTTGAATTGCTTCAGATAAGAATAGTTAGCTCTTTAACAGACATAAGTCTACATTTCTGGAATTTTAATGTTTTCCCTCTACCTCTGCTTTTTTTTTCCAAACCAAATACGTGCTTCCATCATCTTTAAAGTCAGTAAGAAACTAAAGAGTCCTGGGGAAGTGTGCAGACATACTCCTGGCCTAGAACTGGGGGTAGTAGACAAAGCAGTTAGTGCTGCAGATTTTGGAATGAGACCCTTTGGGTTTGAATGCAGATTCTAACATGTATGAACTTTGTGGGCCTCCACAAGTTACTTTTTCTAAGCCTGTGTTTCCTCATCTGCAGCATAGAAGGCAAGTTTAGCACTGATAAATGGGAAGTGCTGTTACTATCATTCTTGCCAAAAATAACCTCACAATGAGTCTCCTTTCTTGTCACCAGTGTGTACAAGAATAAAAAGCACACCCTAAGGGCGAAAACTTCCAAAGACTGTTAGAGATTCACAGATGTATCTGTTCGTCTTTTCTCCTGCTAAACTTGATATGCCAAAAGTGCTAATGTTTGCAGTTTCTGGAGACCGGAAAGCCTGGAAATATTTTAATGTTCTCCTAGTTTGAGGTGATAATGCAATAAAATTGAAATCATTCCTAACTGCAAATATTTTAGTGTTCTCCTAGATTGAGGTGATAATGCAATAAAATTGAAGCATTCCTCACTCTAACAATGCAGGCAGCTGTGTGCATATGAAGTTTTAGGAACGAATTAGCTACTTGATAGCTGTTTCCAGGGTTAGGAATATTGCCGCTCGTTGTATTATGATGAGTCATGTATTTTTTCCATATCATTAAATTTGAAAGTAATATGAATAATTTTTCTTTCCAGGTGGAAAGGCGAGTGCTACTGGGGCCTTTCCTACATGGGGACCAACATTCATTCACTAAACCTCACCATCCCTATAAACAGTGGTAAAAACCAGCCTGCAAGCGCCAGCTCTGACAGAGAATCCCCCGACCTTTTCTCTGCTGTCATTAGTACAAGTGAGAAGGTGACCCTCAAAGCCGCTCTGTCACAGGTGTGTGGAGACAGCATCTTCCGGGCAGCTGGGGCTGGTTACAAGAGCCTTTGTGTTGTGCAAGGCCTCGTGGACATTTACATCTTTTCGGAAGACACCACCTTCAAGTGGGACACCTGTGCTGCTCACGCCATCCTGAGGGCCATGGGTGGGGGGATCGTGGACATGAAAGAATGCTTAGAAAAAAATGCAGGCGCAGGGCTGATTCCGCCGGAGCTGCTGTACCACAAGGAAAACACAGGAGCCACTGGGGTCGATCGCTGGGCCAACAAGGGAGGCCTGATTGCGTACAGGTCCAGAAAGCGGCTGGAGACCTTCCTGAGCCGCCTCCTCCAAAATCTTGCATCTTTGGAGTCACAGACGTAGACGGCTCTGACCTCAATGTACACACACAACTGTTTCCCATTATCTCCATCCTCTGAAGATAGTGTTGTCCTGTTGGTGGTTCATGCGCGCCTGCCTCTTTTGAGGAGCATTTTTCCTTTATGTGTTCGTAATGTTAATTTTGGTTGCTTAGTGACATTCATGCAGCAATTAAGTATGATATTGTTACAGTAAATATTGTACTGCTGATGTTGCTTGAAGCACCTCAATAAAATACTGCAGAAGAAAAATTCTGTTCAATTGGTACAGCTACTCTAAACATCGGAGTTATAGGAGGAATACCACTGAAATATCGGAAAATACTAAAGGGGTTTATTTACTGTCCTGATGGGAAAATCTGCCTGTGGCAGAATATTTAGAACTTTGAATTTGAATAATGTAGCCAAGTTCGAGTGTTTTCATACTATTCATGCTTTGCTCATAAGAAGGAACACCTGAGCACTGTGGGTTCCCTCCCACCTCTGCAGAGATGATGAGGGAGACAGAGCTAAGTATATGCCCGGGGGGAGAGAGAGAGAGGTGCAGACACTCCATTTCTGTCGAAGAGAATGTAAAGGGGTGAAGAGGTTTTTGTCATTTTTGCATATTTACTACTCTTGCCAAAAAGATATAGGGGTATAACTGTCCCATACTGAATGTGCTGAGAGGGGCCCTGGCCACTTTTCCTGGTTTCTTTGACAGGACTGGCAACCTGGGGATGCAGAGCAGGGGCTCAGACCCTCACCTCTGACTTCTTTCTGCTCTCCATCCTCTGGGGCCGAAGATGTTTTTTTTCCCCTGCAATTACAAGTGAATGAAAATAACACTCTAGTTTTTCTTCTAATACCTTCAGATTTTAAAAAGTTGACAAAGGTTGTATACATTTATGTTGTACAACATGCTTTGGAATATGTATCCATTATGCACTGGATATATTAATAATCATTGTCTCACCTTTTTGTGGTGAGAACACTTAAGAGCTACTGTTAGCCTCTTTCAAGTGTACAGTATATTGTTATGAACTATAGTGGCCACACTGTAAAATAGATCTCTCCACCTACCTGAAATTTTGTTCCTTTGATCGAAGTCTTCCCAATCTTCCATTGCTCACCCCCAGCAACCACCATTTTAGTCTCTGCTTCTATGTGTTTTACTTGCTTAGGTTTCATGTGTAAGTGAGATTGTGGGGTGTTTGTCTTTCTATGTCTGGCTTATTTTGCTTAACATAACAGCTTCCAGGTTCATGTTATTGCGAGTGACAGCCTTACCTCCTCTTTTAAGACTGAGTAGCATTTATTGTCTACACAGCATATATTTTCTTCATCCACTGATACAGACTTAGGTTGATGCCATACCTTGTCTGTTATGCGCATTGCCGAATCAACAAAGGAGTGAAGATATCTCTGACATAAATGAAATTGTGTTTCCGTAGTCAAACGCTTCTCAGAACTTCGCTGCATACAGCAAATTCTGTGGTTGATACAGTGGTAGGGTTACAATTTTCAATTACATTGTGCTTTCTGGTTGGCTGTGGACTCAAGTTGCATATTTCTGTCACTGACAGTCTTAATTTCTAAGAGCTGATTTGAAGTCAAAGTCAGTTTGTTCTTCACAAACCACATTAGAAAGGAAAATCCAGGACTTCCGGCCCCATATACACCAGCACAGGGAAATAGAATATGGTTAAAAAAGGCGTATGTTGTCAGTAAGAACATTTTTAGAGTACATACATTATCAACAACATTCGGCAAAAACAGTCATCTCCAATGAGTTCTGAATAGACAAGTTTCTCAGAAGAGAAAACAGCTGGAGAAAAGGGGGAATCAAACATATTCTGTAAACATGTACATCAGCCTGCTCTATTCATAGCTTCCACATTCACAGATTTAACCAACCTTGATGGAACATAAATATATTATAT